GAATGGCTGATCCACCCGGTACAACAAGTAATGTGATAAGGCTAAACGATGCTGTCCTGGTGAGCACGTCGATGAGAGCGTTTAAGGCCACCAATACAATTCTTATACTATTCCCTTATTCGAACCGAACCTTCCATCTCCTTTAGGATTAATAATGTTCCAGGGACTAGATTTGTCTGAGAATGTATAGCATGAGGTTTGGTTGTGTAGTCAAATCGACCTCAACAGGTGACATACAAACTTTTCTACGAGTACGAACGATATTCGGGTGCGGCTGGCGGATTCTGAATAAGAACTTATCATTGTCCAAAGGGCTGCTATATCCCACCTCGCTGTCTAGTTTTCGGCAAACCTCATCAAGCAGCCTTTTAAGCGGGCAGAAGCGTTGATAGATTTTACGTTATGGACAGCTTTTCGATATCTCTCTGAGCGAAAAAGTATGCATAAGAAAGACAAATGAAAGATTAAGCAAAGGCAACCGTGAAAGAGATAGGTACATGACAGATTTCGAAAGAAAGTAGGGTTGTCCCAAGAGAAGTTATAGTTGCACCTGCAAGGAGTTAGATCCTGAATGACATGCCAACGGATTCGGCCATTAGCCAAGGGTCGCAACGGCAGCACAATAAAGTACGTTACATACAAAGGCACGGATAATGATATTCCAAACCACCAGCGAACTTGAATGAAATCAACCGCCTCCTGTGCATTGATCGTTGAGGTAATACTGTACTATGTTTTCAACAACGAGACGTTCTTCACGGTAGATATCACCGCAAAGCTTACATAAGGCGTCACTCTTATAGGACGATGGTAGCCGATAGTGCTTGGTCCACCCAAAGTACCTGAATTAAAATTCGTAGGGGAACTAGCCAACATTGATGTCTGAAAGTCAAGAAAAATTTGTAAATGAAACTTCTAACTGTAGAACTTACTTCAGGTATGCAGTATCATTGTTGCGCAGGAAATTCAAGTAATCTCCCAACTCTTTTGTGCTGTTGAAGTCGTCCAGAGCAATGAACGATTCGGATGGAACGTCAGTACCTAAAAACTTTATTATAATCATCACCGAGTAGTGATGAAGCCCGGCTCAACCACCCGTTGAGAAATGGCCCAACACGTGGTTGAGCCGGGTGGGGCCAACGAGCAGGTCGCATTTGTGATTTCTGAAAAAGGACCCTATTAGGTGACGGTATATTCCGATTCTTGCAAACTCGACGAGTGTAGCTGCATTGCATCAAAAGTGAACCAACGAAGCATACATCAGTTAATTTTCACGTTCCATTTTTTTCGAAGAGCATGAGCGTAGCTTGTCGTCAAGTATTTGGCTAATAAAATAGTTAGTTTTGAGTAAAAACATATAAATTAGGAATTTTTAGGGGGCATAGTCAAAAAATTAATTCGACTTCCGTTTCGCACATGATCTTAGACGGAAGCTGTACTGAAACAGTGCCATCCCTCCGTGCTCTTCAGTAAGGAAGGAAAAAGCGTAGAAAGAGCACAAATTGTGCTCTTTCTACGCTTTT